GTGTGTGTGTGTGTGTGTGTGTGTGTGTGTGTGTGTGTGTGTGTGTGTGAGAGAGAGAGAGAGAGAGAGTCTTAGACATGGGGAGGGGGGAATCCGCCTCTCACATCTGGCTCGCCATGTCAGAGGTCCAGACTCGTATGCAGAAGTTGAAACATTGCTGCACCTTCGCTCTGCCAGGAGGAGTCGGGCTGAGGACTGCTGAACTGCTGGATTAATTCAACCGCTATATCTTCAGTGAGTCCAGACCCCGACGTACAGGACTTCATCCGCCCCCGCTGGTGCAGGAAGGTGACGCAGCTCGAGAGGAGCCTCGTACCAGGTGAAGCGGTGACGACCATTGCGGCAGCCAGACGCAGCAGCCCGGGGCGCTCCGTCCCAGCCAGACCGCCGGGGCTGTTCACAGTGGAATAAAAGGAGCAATTGAGGGATAACGGTTGTTGGCGGAGGGCTGGTTTTAGTCAGGGAATATGCGTCCGGCTGCACCGCAATGACAACCCAGCGAAGGTCTGCCAAGCTACAGCTGCGGCGGTCGATCAGCGAGCAGCTGCGGGACTCCACGTCCAAGGCTTGGGATCTGCTGTGGAGGAATGTCCGGGAGAGACGGCTGGCAGGTCAGAGAGCCAAAACAAAAACAAGTGACACTTCTTTTAATATGCGGAATACAGTTTATTCTCATTTCTGAGTGTCAATTAGGCGAACAGCGCACGAGTCGTGAAGTGCTGGCACCCCATCTAACCTTAAACATAACCATGGTCTGGAAATTGTTTTTTCATGACTTCATGTATCGTCACATAATTGTACCGCATTTCTATTTGCCAGCAGAACAACTTAACATTAGAAGGGTAGAAGACAAAAGTTTATATCGGGCTATGCGCTGCACGTAGCCTCTGTGTCATGCCTGGAGCGTCACGCGCAGCGCGCTCCCTGATATTTTGGGAAGGTCATTGTCAAAATTAGTGCTGAAGACAGCGCAGGCATGTGCTGTGGACAGGAGTCAAGCCGGGGCTTTAGATGCCAACTGCTCAGCATGTGTTGTCCCACTCTGGATAATGGTTTATTTTGTTTATTGTATCTTCGGGGTGGGGGGGGGGGGGGGGTATTTTTTGAGTTATCTCTCTCTCTCTCCCTCTCTCCCTCTCTCTCTCTCTCTCGCTATCAACTGTCAGAGAGGACGGAGAGAGAGAGAGAGAAAGAGAGATAGAGATGCATCTGTCTCCCAGGTTTAATGTAATTATCGAGATGTCTGCCTCTTAAGCAAATTAAAAGATGAACATTCCCACATTCACAACGCTACACAAACCACCAGGCCACGATAGCGGTCAAAGTCTCTGTGCTTGTCAGTTGTACTCAAGTGCACAGCAGTGATACATTTCTTGTGTGACCAGCAAAAGGCCACTCAGGCGTTGTTGAAGATCATTTAAACTATCATTGTATGCTGGTTAACCATGATATATGTTGGTTTATTGATGCTTTGCACACCATTAGTCAGAGAGCACCTGCTGCCCCAGTAATCCTCTTTCCTCTAATTTCTCACCCCTTCATCCTGTCCTCCAGACAAAGCCTCAAAACACCCTCAAACCCACAGCTCCCCCTCCTCACTCACCCCCACCGCCTAACCCATCAGCTCAGGAGGCACACAGTTCACATCTGTGTGGATCAGATTTTGAGATGGGGGATCCTTAAAATGTGCACATCTGGCCTCACCGTTATGCTGGAATTCAGCAGTGTATTTTCCGCTCTATGGTTGAGAGCTGTGAAATATTGTATAGCTCATTTTGGAGAAACTGTGTAGTGGTCAGGGACAATAACTTTGGATAATCAATACAACTCATTTCACAATCCAAATATCACCTTCAGTAACCAAAATATTTAAAGTTTAGCAAGAAAAAAAGACACATTTTCAACTGTAATCTTAGTCAGATGCATCAATGAACAAATGGACGGATGAGGGTCCTGAACTGAATGTTAAAGTGAATTTTGATTGTGTTCGTGGTTCCATTCAATCATCTGTGTGTGTGTGTGTGTGTGTGTAAACTGAGAATACATAATAGCACCTGGATTTAGATGTAATCCCACAGGTTTTTAGGTTAGCGGTGGGGGTCAGGTCTCCCTTTGCGTGTGGGATTTGTGGGTCTTAGTTGCTTTGGTGTGAGTGTTGGTGTGTGTGAGGTTTTGTCTTTGTTTCAAGGCTTTAGCAACATGTTGAAAAGCTACATTTTCTCATATTCCCCTCAAGGAAAAGTTATTTATCTGTGTTAGCAAGCAAGTCTTCCTATACTTTGCTCCGGTCACAAAGAAAATCTCTTTTGAGCCTGCGGCAGCCTTGGATGCTCACGACTCGGGTCCCATGGCTGTATCTAAGTCTACAGGCTAAACTTTAAAGGTGACCAGGCTTTGACTGCCTGTGGAGTTCAGAGTGATCACACTAGTTTCATCCTTTAGATCACTTAAAACCTCCTGAAGGGCTTTTTTTTTTTAACGAGACCAGCAGCTGTTTACGAAGTTATACTCGTTAGTCTCTCGATATTGCCATTTTTTTCACTTCTGCTTGTATCTTTGCAATTAGTAAACAATATCTATATAATTTTAGTGCATGCATTCACTTAAGGGCATCGCATGGTCGAATTACAGTGACTGTAAACATGCAACTTGTATTCAGAGATTTAGTTCATATTGTATATTCTGTATTAGAGGCAAGTGTTTGGGTCATGATAATCAAGTAGAGATCTTTGACACAGTCCTAACAAAACTCTGAACATTGTATAGATTTTCTTTGCTTAATATTGAATCCTCTTCAGTTGGCCTGTTCAGTTTCTGTCCCAGGTTGGCCGGGTGTAGCTGAGACAGAGATGAATATTTTATTACTGGCTGCTCACTACAGCCAATCCATTTACACACATCTAAATAGCACACTGTCACGTTCCTGAGTCCGCCTGCTGTGCCCTGCATCACTTTGACACTTTGCAAAGTGATTTTTTTCTCAGTGTATCTAGACTGACATGGAATTTAAAAAAAAAAGTAAACTCATCTCTCCCAAATTTCCCAAATCAAATTGAATCACAGATTTTATATTTCACTACTTCAGACTGTTCACTTGCACCAGTGTATGACCTGCAGACTAAACAGATCTGCATTAGCATTTCTTACATTAGCATTGCTTACGATAACTACACAGACAAATTTCCCCTTGGGGATGAATAAAGTATATTTCTATTCTATTATATTCTAACTATACAGATTTTTGTGGGACATATTGCTATCAAGAGGCCCAAGCAGGGAATGTGGGTGGTGTATATGTGCTGGATCAGCTTAACTGCTTGTAAGAGTGTGACTTTGTGTCCTAGCTTGGTTTGCAAAACAAGCTATTATCAAGTATAGTTCTAAACTAGACTAAAGAAAACCAACAGTTCAACTCACATCTTCCCTCTTTATTGTTTCATTATTTCCCTACATCCTTCCTGTTCACACCTCCCCTCACACACGAGCACTCTCTATTTCACAGGTGACCTCTGACCTTTGGCTACTAGTAAAACATGTTACATAAGTGAATAGAGGGGAGTTCATGTGTGTTTCTTCATAACTGTTAAACATAAAAGAGAAATAGCAAGTCGATGCTGAAACGTGTTTTTAATGAGATCATGGAGAAATTCTATGATTAAGTGACAGACGGATCACCTGTGATGTTGTCTGTTAAAATAACTTACTCACGCTAAAAGTCATCCAATAGCTTTCAAACAATAAAGGCTTTTTGTTTTTATAGATTGCAAATAATGTCTTTTTATAAGTTTTATATATTTGTAGTGTGTACATTTTGACAAATATTAAGAACAAAATGAAAAGAGTCAAATAAATCACATCTAAGCATTAACGTTCAAATGTTAGTATTATGTGGTAAAGGCTTTAGGATCCAGTGCTGCTGGTGTTCAGAGCATTCAACTCATCGAAAGTCCACATTTAGATCACGTGATGTGGGCAACTTCATGCTTCTTGATGGGTCTGTTCTTGCACCCGAGAGAGAGGCTGAGATATGCAGTGATGATGATGATGATGATGATGGAGGTGAAGAGAGCTCTGAAGGAAGTGATGACGAAGGAGGAGAAAGTGAGGCTGGACTGCAAATCAACCTTTTATAGGACATCTGCCGAATATGGCCATACTTTAATCCAGGCATTAGTATTGTTTAAGAAATACGATGAGAATGATGGATACCTCGACATAAAGCAGGCATCTTAATGCTCGACCAAAGAGCTTATGGTGGAAAAGCACATCATATCATTTACAGAAAGCTATCATTTGTTTGATTATTGCATAAACTGTTCACTAGTGATTATCTTGAGATGATGATGAATGTGTAGCTGGGTTTTTTTAGTTGTGAAAAATTGTGGGTGGGGAATTCCGTGGTATGAACTTGATGGTGTGGATTTAGAGAACTTTTCTCAATGGCATAACAATCCACTCAACTTTAGTAACAATAGGTTTGCTCCTATAATAACACCCACAAACTCTCTATTGTTCTTCCCTTTCCCATGTCACAGTGGCAGATGGTCTTTGAGATAGTGTTTTTTTTTTCCAGGCCTATCCCCAATCTGATCACATCTTCCATCTCAGATATTCCTTTCTCTCACACACGCACATGTGCACATTTGCCCGAGGCATGTACCAAATTGTGTCTTTGGCACAGCTTCAGGAAGCAGAGCGGTGTTCCCTGAGCTCTCACACCATTGGCTGCTGGTCATGTGGCCAAAAGGAAAAACCTTGTGGAAGCAAGAGTTTGCGAGTCTTCCTCCAATCTCAGCTGCGAGGTCGGCAAATGCGTGTTTGTGTGTTTGTGGGGAGAATAAGGTCTGTCATCCGTGTCAGGTGGTGTGATGAAGTTTTGTGTTTGTTCGACTGAGTTGGAGGGAGGAGGCAGTTGGGAGGGGGAGCCGATTCGGCTTCCAGTGAGGGCATGTTAGACACAGGAATTTAGAAGGTGTGTCTCACAACAACTCATCAGGACGTGAAGGGAGGAAGATTTGTAGGTTAGTGAGCTTTAGATGTTATGTTATTATGGAGGCTGTGGACAGCAGTTTGGCTGGTATGGATGATGTGGCAGCGACTACAGACAGTGTGGCGCACCGAGCAAATGCTGCAGGAAAGGGAGAGACAGCAAACAACAGTCTGGACCCTGTGGACAATGGGAACAGCATGAAAGCTGCCAAAGATGAGGATGTGAGGGGCGACGCTGAGAGCGCTGACACCGTCTGTGCCGAGGACAGCGCTGATGTTACAGACAGTAGGGGTATGGAAATTGATGACATCACGGACAGCATGGATCAAAGTGCCGAGGACGACAGTAATGACGGCGAGAGCGACGGCGACAGCTCCAATGAGGGATCTTGTCTGGGGGCCATGACCTCTGACGGGCAGGACTACTACCTGAGGCTGGGCGACACTCCTCGGCGGCGCTCTGCTCTGCGCCTCTCACGCATCATTGCCCGCAAGCAGCTGCTATGGAGGCTGGCACAAGGTAGAACTAGAGAGAGTTGAATCACACCAGCGTGATTAGATTTGTGACTGGTTTTACAGTGTCTTTTTATCCGATTAGTTGGATGTTCGGGATTTTTTGTTTTTTTACAAAAGAGAGATGGAACATGAATAGATTGACACTTGGATATTTTAAGTCTACCTCTTGTCTATTCCCGATTAGTTTTCTTTTCTCCTGTGGAAAAACTGAACTGGGTGCAGATTCAAACAATGCAAAGTGTGTCAGTTTTAAAATAGGGGACTCTGATTGCAGCTGTTTCATGTGAGACTCTGTCTTCCTTACTTCGGAATTTTTCAACATTTAACCTATTCATCAGAGGTTTACTCGACACCAAAAATGAATAGACCCAACTTTTAGAAGTAACTCATCTCTCTTCTGTTTCATCATGCTTTTTATTTGCTTTGTTTTTTGGTAAGATCTTACACACCAAGCATTGCCTGTACACACACTTCCTTCTGGTTTTAATAGTCGGACATATGGAGCCTCCCGTCCTCCAAAGATGTCTTTCATAAATCTGAAAGAAGTCATAACAAACCATAAAGGACTATAGTGTTATTGTTTTTGTCTATATAGGTAGGGATCCAAATTGTATTCCATGGCTACTTCCTCAACTTCCTGTCACATGACTCAAGTTTCCCGCGGAGTGAAGAGAACATCCCGTCATTCATAAAGAGGCTTTGGGTTATTCTTATGTTTGTTGAGGTCTTTGTAGAAGATGAGTCTCTCTCCTTTGTATTCTGACGTTTTTTCCTGGTGCCATGTTGGTACACTTGATAGAGATCAGATTGTGTGTTTGTGTTGTTTGTTGTTCTCATGTACCGTGGTACACAACTCTGGTTTTATGAGGAAGCAGAAACATGTCAGGTCTTGTGTTTTTTTTTTATCCTCTGCGAGCCAAATCTCGTGTGAAGCATCTAAAAAAACTGCGTGAAGGAGAGAACAAGTGATATGACAGCTGTGGCAGATGAGGAATGTAGATGGAGAAGCAAGTTTATGCCTGTGCTGTTTTTGAATGATGGTATGATCTATTCAGCTTTCACTCCTTGCCTGTTGCACTTATACAGCTTCTCCTCCAATCGTACTCTCTCTCTCTCTCTCTCTCTCTCTCTCTCTGTCTTTCTCACGCATTCTCTCCCAAGTTGCATTCCACTTCTTAGCAGCTGGTAGTCTCAGACAGACTTAAATAAAAAAATAACTCAGTGACCCCTAATCTGACACTTCTCAAAAGCAATAGTTTGATTCATATCTCGAAGTACATGCCTTTTCCTGCAATTTAGATTTTCTTATGCACATGGCCTATTTACAGATAGGTGACAATTTAAAGCAGCAGTTACCAGTATTGTTGTAATAACAATGATACAATTACTATGTTACCTGCTCAGCACTAAATAGCAGACAGACAAAGTTAGTGACTAGCTGTTGAAGATAGTGGACGTTTTAGCAGCTGAAAAGTCCGATATTTCACACAGGAGTTGGTGGAGACCAAAAACAGAGCTTAAAGAAAAGTGAATATCTGACTCACCTTCACCAGGTGGCCACAAACTGTTACAATTACAAAATATGCAACTGTTTGCTAGCTGTTCGCCATATCAGCTTAAAGTGAACTTAGTGTTGTGCTCACAGCTTGTTGGAAAAGTTGCAAAGAATAAGTAAAGAAGAGGAAATTATAGCCCAAAACCATAAATGCTCAATCACTAAATAGCAGAATGTATCAAATGCAGCACGCATACATCATGTAATCATAGCCTGAAGATTAAGTGCATTGCTGTAACACATTGCTTTAACAACCTCTGCTGGAGGAAAGTGGCATAACCAAATACTCAACTTGATCTTCATAATCCATCCTATTAATACTGCTAACTCACAGCAGTCCTGCCATTTCTGTCCTTATATATATATATATATATATATATATATATATATATATATATATATATATACAGGGCTGTCTGACATCTGCAGTCCTCAGTGAGTGCTGCACAGGAGACGCTGCGCCTGAACCGATTTAATGCCTTGTTGATGCTGTTTTACAGCACATTCCTGAGGGCTCTACATCATTGCAGATGAACCATATGGGATGGGACAGACATATTCTTTTTTTTAAAGTCCCTCCCTCCCTTCCTTCCTCTCTCCCATCACTCCTCTTCTGCCTTCTTCACTACTTTTTCCCCCCCTTTGTGACCTTAAAACATGAAGGACTAAGTGCTTTGGCTTATGTGGGAATATGGCTGCTTTCCAGGCAGCATGTGTGTGTGTGTGTAGTATTGTAGAAGGATCGCTCAATTCATGTCTATACAGCCTAACTATAAGCTATCTCTTCTCAGTCCCTTATCAGTGTGGTTTATCTTCTAGGTATCAAATGAATTTGGACTGAAATGACACATTTAAACAAACAGCGTTTGAATACAACTTTGTAAAATTAAACAAACTTTCTAGTTCTGATCTCTGTTGCCCCATGGTCTGTGTGACATATACATGGTCTGTGTGTCCCTTCTGACATGTTCAATCCAGTTGAGTTGTCCACTTCCTGTTGCTGGTTTTAGGTCACATGCCGCTCTGGACGCCTGGGAAATTCAGAGCAGGAAATGATGTCATGCATGGCACTTCAGGGCCCTTGAGACCCAGCACAAGGCAGACATAACACTGAGAAAAGGCTGTCAGAAAGTCAAGGTTACTGGCGTTGGATAAAAGGGAGGAAATGAAAGGTAGAAGAAAGAAAGGCAAAGGCACACTTTCTGAGAAAAAGCTGTGAGGACACGGGGATGCTTGTATTATGTGTATTATGTAACGTAGCTGGCGTCCTTATTATGTAAGGAACTACCTTACAGCCCCTTTGTCCCACACATGGACGCCCACATTCACAAGCCCATCACACACTCATACACATACCATCTGTCTACCTTCCCCGCTGTTATCCTAGTGGCTTGCTGCCTGTTGTCATATATTCTCCACAGCAGGAACACGGGGACATGGAATAGACTGAAGGAAAAGCACGGTAGGCAGCTTGGATTAGCTCCGTCTGACTATGTGCATATGTCTGTTTTGTGGCCCACTAATAACATATTTGTGTGCTAATTAATCTCTTGATTAAATTCTGCACAGATGAATAGCGGTGCTTTGTTCCCATGCTGACAGGAGCTTGGCCACTTGGCACCTCGGTGCACAAACACAAAGACGCATTGCCAATTACACATGCACAAAAACAAAAAACGCTGTTGTGTGCTTTTTCTAAGGAGAAAAAACTATTTGGGGCGGGGGGCTACAACAGCTTCATAACTATTAGTTACTTTTGAATGCAACACTAGAAAAGTCAGTGTAATGGCGGTTAATTGATAAGTAGCAGGATCTGTAGGTATCCCTCATTTATACTCACTAAATTGAGTGTTTCCATTGCTATGGCAGGATGCTGCAGCACAGTAAGAATACTTGTGTGGATCTACAATGGCATTTACTTGAAGAACTAAAACTTTAGCTCTAAGATTGCTGGAGGATGGTATGTGTTTGTCCTAATTATTCTGCAAAAACACAGAACAACAGAATGGACAATGGCTCACTGATGTGTTATTGCATAGGGAAACACAGGAAGTACTTTGAAGCAGGATTAATTGATTGTTGGTTTTGGTCTTTGTATGGGATTTATTGACAATTAGAAAAATGTAGACTTATCGTAATGTATCCCGCTCTTCATCTGCATCTCAGTAAATACGCGGCTGGTGTGGTATGTCTTCCTCCCTGTGGTTTTCCCACAGGGTCTGTCCATCTCACCTGCCCTCCCTCCCACCCCAGCTGTCTGTCTGTCTCATCCTTTTTGTATCCTCTGACTCACTGGGGGCAACATCTGGACTGTGCTAAATATCTGCGCTGGTGTGTGTAATGTACGTGTGTGCGTACACACTGCATTCTCCCACACATTGTTCTGCTCCGCAGTTTTGTAGAGTAAAGCAAAAGAAGGAGGCCGAGGTCAGAGTCTCCTTGCTGGCCTGCCAGTAGGTTTTAGCTGACATATGAAGTTAGCGTCCACCAGTCCTCAGTCTGTGACCGCGGGGGCTGGCTTGATGCAAACGCCAGCTGAAATTAGCCATTTCCTCAATGGACGCGACGGGCAGCAGCAGCTCTGGTGATGACAAAGAAGATGTGTAGTTGGTGTCATCGGCCAGCTTCGTGTAGGAGCAAAGAGGACGAAAGGATGAGGAGAAGCAAAGCGGACGTATGGATGAAGGGAAGTGTTTGCTTTTAGAGAGAGAACCTGAGGGGACGAGACAAGGTTATAAGCAAGAAAAGTGCAGAGAGAGTACAGAGTAAAAATACATTTACACAAGAACAAACAAGAGGGGAAAAGCAAGTGACATACTACAATAAGAGTGAGGAGAAGAAAGAGTCTAGTGCAGCATCATGCAGAGAGAGGTGTAAATATAGAGAGATTTTGTATGTGGATCCTAACGAAGCAGAAAGTGCGAGAGAGGAGGTTGAGGAGAAAATTAGAGGGACGAGAAACCCTGCATGGGGCAGGCTGAGAGAGGGAGGCAGAGTTGTAAACACAAGGGTTGGAAAGGCAGAGAGGAGGAAAGTGCAGAATCGTTGCCGCTTGATGGAAAGCTGGATAGCAGCGAGTGGATGTGCCATGGGATGGAGAGGAAAGTGAGCACAGGAGAAATGAATGGAAGCATATCATCACTTGCACCATGAGGGCTCCAAGTAAGTTTTCAGTCCTCTCAACCCTGCAGGCTCTCTCTGGTGTTTCTCTGTCTATTTTCAGAGTGTTACAAGAAGTATTTTTCCTGATCTGTTGCTTCATATGTGATTTAGAGAGAGAGAGAGAGAGAGAGAGAGAGAGAGAGAGAGAGAGAGACGAGTTATGCTGAGAATGCTGGGAGAGGGATGTAATTGCTGGATTGCGGTTAAAAGATAATTTCCCCTGACCGTTCTCATCTGTGATGGTGAGGACGGAGGCTTTTTATTGCCCTGCTGAACTTTGTCCCCTGTGTTTCTGCGGTGCTTCTCCCATTTACTGCCAGCACCTCTAAATGAGTGAATGAGAGGAGTGAGAAAGAGGGTGTGTTTTAAAAAGAGGTACGAGATCAGGACGGCGACTGCAGAATGATGCAGAAATAGTGTTGAAAGTTGGTGGGTTTTCGATGATAGTGACGTTATTGTATTGTGATAACTATGTGTGGAATTTATTATTATTTTTAACTTTACAACTTCAAAAAACATACATCATTTGTTTAACCTTGCTTTGAGTTTTTAGACGGTGTCCACCTACAAACCCTAAGCGTTTCCACTCACAGTTATTTACAGTTTTTAAACATATGTGTGTATGTATCGGTGTAAACGCGTTTTTGCGTATGTACGTGTCTGTGTATGTATTATATCTTTTACATTGCTTTAATTTCAACCATTTTCTTTGTAAAAAAAATACTAATGTGATTGCTGGCACCAACTTCTTTCAAATGTCTTTGTCAGCACAAAGCTTTGCAGAGCAGTTTAATCAGTGTCTGCTCATAAAGAGAACCTACACATACACACACACACAGACATACACACACATACGTACATACATGAACGGTGCAGAGTCTAGCAGTGTGAGCAATACATATGCTGGCGGAAAAAAGTAGTAAAACAAATGCCTGTAAAAGGTTTCGCGGTGCTGGCGGCAGCATCTAATGGGGTGTGGTGCCATGTGTAATTGCCTGTTAAACTTACGCATTAACGGCTGAAATCTGACTGCTGGTTAAATTGTGTAAAGTGTTTCCTTTGTCCTTCACTGGCTCACTTCCAGCTTTTCCAATCTCATCATTCCAGTCAATTCCCAGAGGAAAATGTAATTCCCTGAGATGTTCCTCTTCTATAAGCTACAAAAGCTGGGATAGTGAGATGTTATGCTCTTTATGACTCTTAATTTATCCGTGTTTATTTTGAGAGAGCGAATAATTAACACGGCACATCAAGCTGTGCATATAAAAGACATCAGTCCAGTGGAATTCAGAAGGAAATTCAATAATGTGGGGACTTTCCTCCACAAAAATGTTGTGATATTATGTGTTTTCAGATTTCATATTACAGAGTAGATCCCAAATATGTTAATTTGTGCACTCACACATACCTTTTTTTTTTTTTTTGGCTTTACAGAGATTGAGGCTAAGGAGGCTTGTGATTGGCTTCGAGCAGCGGGATTTCCACAGTACGCCCAGCTCTATGAAGGTAACACACACACACACACACAGACACACTCACACACACACACACACACACACACACACACACACACACACACATACAGTAGCCAAAGTCCAGCATTTATCCAGCTGCCTTGTTTCACACAAAGACGTCCCCTTTCAAATCTCTCCTTTTTGTTCAATCCTGCTTCTGAGTTTCTCTCTTTTTTCCATTGTCTCTGTTTCTCTCTCTTTTTCTGCCATCTCTCTATCTGCGTATATCCTCGTCTTCTGGGCCGCTGCGTTCTATTTCCAGGCTCTAGTTCCTGTCCAGAGGGAGGGGTCATGGGAAAGGCCTTGTTATCACTGCTGGGACTCTCACAGCTTCTCTTTCTCTCTTCTTTCTTCCACCTTTCTCTGGCCTGTATTTCCTTACTATCTCTGTCTGTCTAGCTTTTCATTCAGCTTTCTTTTCTCCTTCCTTCCTTCCGTTTTGCCCTCTACCCACCTCTCTGTGAAGCCTACAGGCGCTCATTCATGTGATGATCATCGGGTCTCACACAGTTGAGGCACAAACAGGAAATGGCCCTCAGTAATCTAAGAAGTAGCTCTAAAAACCCAGCAGTCCTGCTTTAGCAGCCCACACACACACACACACACACACACACACACACACAATGTGCTGAGAACTGCTGTGAGCTCCAGTAATGTCGGGTTATGGATGGCTGCCTCTTGGACTCTTTGGCTGCTCCCGGGTGGACGTGATCCCTGCAGACGGCCACCACACACAGAGAATCACCAAAATAAAAGGCTTGAGTCCTTTTGGCATTGTGTGGAATTCAGGTTATTTTGGGGTTAAAAAAGGCGTGTGTGTATTTTCTTTAAACTTCATATGCACAAGACAGGTGCCAACAGCGGCGGCAGCAGTTGTGCCATGCTTCACAGACTTCAGTAATGGTTAACCGGTAGAGAAAACTGCCATTTCCTGTCAGTCATTAACTATTTAAACTCAATCTCTGTTTTTTCTTCTTCCTCTCTGACTCTCTCTCGTACAGATTCCCAGTTTCCAGTTGACATTTCCTCTGTGAAAAGGGACCACGACTTTTTAGACCGGGATCTGGTAGAGCCTCTATGTCGGTAAGGACACTTGTATAAACACACATGTTCATATTTGTACACTTCAGTCAACCCAGCCATACACATGCAAACCTCACTTTTTGGTGTGCCCATTTAACACTAGTAAAATCCCAGATTCTGTACTTGTCCCTGCGGCCTGGTGCTAACCGCTAATCATTAGATGTCTGACCCCGACCCCTAATGAACTCCCCACTCCTGTTTCGTGCTCAGACAGCCCGGGCTTTGATCTGGTCGCCTCCCCTCCCCTCTGCAGTGCTCTGATCTCCCATTCAAAGAGCAGAAACCCTCAGGGGGCAAAGAAATGGGGGGGCAGAGGGGTAAAGGGAATGGGGAAGGAGTGAGGGGATGCCAGTCTATTCTATCAGATGGCTTTGAGTGTGTTTTTTATGTCCCTTTGCACACCTTTATGATCTTTTTGTCTCACATCTCCCATTCCTCTCTTTCCATGGACGTTTTCCCACCTCGCACCATTGTACCCTTTACCTTTTTCCTCCTTCTCTATACACACCCGCCTCTTCAATGTCTACGGTAGAGGAGGGTATGGTAATTGTAGCGTTAGTGATTTCCCAAAAGCTGTATTGTGAGAGAATATGTATCGGACCCCCTGAGAATGTCTCAGAAGCTGGAAGATACACTCACAGTAAGATCTCTCTTGTTCATGCATCACTCTTAAACTTAAATTTAGATGATATACAGCTATATGGATGCAATAATACATAGTTTATGGAGCATATCATTCTAAATCTGTATGGATATGTTCAACCAGGACGAATTGTTCGTTCCATCCTGCAGCAGAAATACAGGGTGTGGAGACTCCAGGGCTCCCCCTGTATATTTTCAAACTTAAATGTTTACTTTCAGCCAGAAAGACAGCTTGCTGTTTCCTGTTGGTATTTCATTCTGGTTTATATCAAACAATCCCTTGTCTGCCCGTTTGTATGAGAGGACAGAGAAAATAAACAGTGAACAAAAGTGGATTTGTGAGTGTGCTATTAGAGGCTGAAATCCTTCAAATGACAGAGGTCACGAGCCCCAAAAAATGTTTTTAATGATCCCATCTTGAAAGGCACCAACACAGACACCACCCTCCTAACCAGCCGCTGTTCACATTCCCTGAGTTGCAGAAGGGGGGAGAACGTGGGTGGGTGCAGACTGCACTGAGACTTTTTGCGAAGGAGGTTGCCTGCCGCGCTCCAGAGCAGGAAAGTGGAAGGGGGCTGGGGATGGGTGACAGATGAAGGGAGGAGGTAGGGAAGTGGAAGGGAGGAGCCAGCTGTGTTTTGGGGGGAAATGCACTCCTTGAGGGTGAGGATCAGTCCCAGCTGATTGATGCCAGAGGAGAGGGAGGAGTAGAGTCCTTTGGGAGAAAGGGATAGGGAGAGTGTAATGAGAAGGATAGAGTCAGAAAACATCATAAGTGAGGAGGAGAGTGAGGAATGAGAGAGAAGAGAGTGAAAATGAGAATGTGACAGTTCATGAACACTGCAACAGACAAAACATATCCAAAACATGTAACTTACTGTGTGTTTATGTTGCAGACGTCTAAATACTCTGAACAAGTGTGCCTCCATGAAACTGGATGTCAGCCACCCCAAGAAGAAAGTAAGACAACCTCGTTTAACTGTAAGCCATCAACTTAACAAACTCTTTGTTGTTGCTTTGCTGATGCTTTGTCAGCTGCCACAAATAGACACATGAGGATTTTATAGGTAGATTTGTGTTCATTGCTTTTTCATACAATCTGTGTGTAGCTGGTCAGTTCTTTGTCTGGTCAGTGTAGATCTGAAAATATGATGCCATGCTCCTCAAAGTGGATTCACCATGTAATGTTGATGTTCACAACTCTAAGTTGATGACAATTCAGACTGGATATATAGATCTATCCAGTAGATATAGATATAGATATATATGTATAAGACACTTCAATGGTATTTATGAAATCCAGTTGAAGGGTCAACTAGTGCTAATGTCCAGATATTTTCTGTTCAGTCGTGCTCATGATGAAGGATACTTTTCTAAATCTGTACAATGATAGAAACTTCCATTCTACAAGTCTGGATTAATTTGTAGTAAATCCGAAATGGCTTAGAAGTGAAATAAAACAAGTCAATCGGGATTTTTGATATGTGAACACAACAGAAGATCTTAATTCTATAGTAACACTTATTTGGAGCTTTGTGTTGCAATTTTTTGACCCTGTAATAACTTCTTTATGATTCCATAGGGTGATGACTCTGATGAAGATGACCCGTTGGCCATCAGTAAAAGGTGGACGTTTGAGTGGAGCAGCCGACGTTGGTCGCGCCTGCAAGACTTCCTGTTGGACAGCACCGCTGAAAGTCCACTGGACTTCCTGTTGGACAGCACCGTGAGCATTGAGAGTGTGCTGGCGGACCCGAGCGAGCAGGAGATCGCAGAAATCTCCTCGTTGCATAGTGAGGACTCCGCGTCTGCCATGCCTGACTCTATATCTATGGCATCTCTCTCTGCTTCCTACCATCCCTCCAGGGATCTTCCACACTACAACTCCCTGCCAATCAAGAGCAGCCGCCATGGGCAAGGAGGGCGGAGTAAAGCCAAGGAGTTTTTGCGTCGCATGGAATTAATGCGCACTTGGGGGCCGTCGACAAAGCGGAAAAGCTCAAATCGCAGGGCACCTATGGTCATCAGTGGGCCGGTGTTGCAGGGCGAGGAGCCTCACGCACTGCAGATGCTCCAGTGTACTCCGATCAGCCAACTAGAACACAATGACCAAACTGACGGTGACACCCCCTCGCTTACCAATGACTGTAAAGACCAATCCACGGTGAGTGTTAGCCCCAGCGGTGAGACAGCGGCGCCCAATGTGAAGGAGCCCGTGTGTGCAAAACACCGCACCGCCAGCAAGAGAAGCAGCATGTATCTGGAGGACATTGAGCTGCTTTCTCAAAGCAAGAGGACTGAAGGACAGAGCCAGTTTGGCAGAAACCAGTTTCACTCACATGAAAACCTCCTCGTTCACATCCCCAAAGACCATAAACCAGGCACCTTTCCAAAAGCTCTGTCCATAGAGAGCCTGGTGCCTTCCCCTGGTGACGGAAACAATGGCCCCCGGACACGGGCCAAAATCTATCTACTCAACAATGGCCCGGGTGAGCCCTGGTCTGACAAACCTCTGTCCAAGCCCCCCTGTCCTGGAGCTCCCCGTGGCAGCAGGGTGAGTGTTTATGACAACGTTCCGGGCTCCCACCTCTACGCCAGCACAGGAGACCTACTGGACTTAGAGAAGGAGGAAAATCTGTTCCCTCACCTAGATGACATCATCCAGCACGTCAGCGGTTTGCAGCAAATAGTGGACCACTGGAGCCGCAGTGTGCTGCCTGAGGATGAGACAGAGGAGGGGGAGGAGGAAGAGGAGGGCAGGACCACCCCCAGTGAAGGCGAGAGAGACGGGGTCTCCTTGATCGACACTGACTCGACAGGAACCAGTCGGGAGAGACGGGACTCTGGAGTCGGGGCCTCGCTGACAAGACCACGGTGAGTAACACCAATAGTGAATGCACCCAAAATGTCAGTAATAATCTCTCAATGCGTAGGAAAACTGTGGTGCAGTAGGTCAAAGACGAACCAGAAGGTTGGTCTATAAATGACAAAGGATGTTAACAATGAGCCGTTTGGGCATTTTACTGTTCGCCTTTGTTTTCTCTTCAAAACAAATTTGGCTCACCTGGAGGACGTTTGATAGGCGTCATTCCCAGATCTCAGAAATGATTCCGTTTGAGAACAACGTTGTTATCATAGATAGGAAATATGTCCAAAACACTGTGTGTCTCTCATTCTTTACTGGTATTCTCTCCCCCATCCCAGGCTACGATGGCCCAGCTTCAGGACCTCTGATCATCTCAACCAGCCGGCATCTTCACTGCAGATCACTAGCCAATCAGCGGGCCAGCTCAGCCTGCTGCAGAAGTTCTCTTTGCTCCGCCTCACCGCCATCATGGAGAAATACTCAATGTCTAATAAACATGGCTGGACATGGTGGGTATCCACTCTGCCACATACATCGTCCATATGTTTCTCCCCTCTTCTCTACAATGGGGCTATTAGCTCATATTTCATGCATTTATTCATAATTCCAGGAATTTACAAGGTGTGATCTGTATGTTTGTTAGTGCTTCCTTCAACTTCTCGACATCAGAGCTAAAACAGCAGGACCACATGCACCAACACCTTCACACAAAACCATAACTTCCCTAATTGTTTTCTGTCTATCGCTTCCAGGTCTGTCCCCAAGTTCATGAAGCGCATGAAGGTGCCAGACTACAAAGAGAAGAGTGTGTTTGGTGTTCCCCTCATCATCCATGTCCAGCGCTGTGGTTTTCCGCTCCCTCTGTGTTTACAACAGGCCCTCAGCCACCTCAGAACACACTGTCTGGACCAGGTTAGAGAGGAAAACAGCACTTATTAGAGTCTGTACATGACCATATATAGTGCTCAGTGAAATGTAACTAAGTACAGTTACTTCCATGCTATAATACTGCAGTTCTTGTTCTTCTACACATTTCAGATGGATGTGGTTTTACACATGTGTAACTACAGTTACTAGTTAATTTACTAGGACACTTTACAATACTATACTATACTATACAATGCATTAGACCAGTGGTTTCCAACAGTTTTGCCTTCCTCGTTGGCTTTGTCTGACTCTTCTTTCCTTCCCGTCTCAGGTGGGATTGTTCCGCAAATCTGGCGTGAAGTCGCGTATTCAGGCTCTGAGGCAGCAGTGTGAGTTGTCCCCTGACTCTGTGAGCTACGAGGACCAGTCGGCCTACGATGTGGCCGACATGGTCAAGCAGTTCTTCAGAGACTTTCCAGAGCCTCTGCTAACAAGCAAGCTGGGGGAAACCTTCCTGCATATTTACCAGTGTAAGTCGCCTCGGAGCTATGAATGCTGTAACGTGTTATCACAGCATCTGCCTCAGAGGAAGGGACTGTAAATGGTCTTAATCGTTAAGCTGGCCTTGATGGAAACTCAGTCAGAAACAGTGTTTGATATAAAAAAGTACAATTTTAGCTACTTGCTTTATATATGAGTTATGTGTATGAAATGTGCACTAAAAGACATGAAAAGACTGGATGTTGGGAACTGAGACTTTCTTCCATCAATCGCTCCTCACCTCCGCTCATCTTTTTTCTTTAGATGTCCCAAAGGAGCAGAGGTTGCAGGCCGTCAGAGCGGCCATTTTGCTGATGCCGGACGAAAACAGGGAGGTTCTGCAGGCGTTGCTCTACTTCCTGCGTGACGTGACTTCCTTGGTAGAGGAGAACCAGATGACGCCGATGAACCTGGCTGTTTGTCTGGGACCTTCCCTCTTCCACCTCAGCATGCTGAAGAACGAGACGCTCTCGCCAAGGTGAACACACTGATGCTTACATAGAAAAACTAAAAATAGCTTCGGCCGTGCAAAATACATTACAACATGGGGTCTAAGATAAGATGATGTCCTCATTATATGATGCTAAATTGAGTTTAGGTAAAATTCTGTGCCACATTATTTTGTTACTTTTCTTTCTTTTTGTTTTTAAAACATTGTATATATTCAGTACCATGAAAAAGGTAAAGGTAAATAGTTATTAAGCTAATGGTGCATTGTTCTGTACTTCTGTGTAAATAGATATTCTGTATAATTTCTGTCCGTCAAGGTCAATCCAGAGGAAGTACACCACGGGTCGTCCCGATCAGAAAGACCTGAGTGAGAACCTGGCAGCCACCCAGGGTCTGTGTCACATGATCACCGAGTGCCAGTGTCTCTTTCAGGTCAGTATTTACAATTTACAGGGATTTGTTTCTATAAGAGCGAAAAATGATAAGTGACTGGCAGAAGTTACGCAGATTAATTGTGTTGGCTAAGAAATGATGCACGTCCAGGTCTGAATATGGGACATTAACAGACAAAAATACGGAGCGTCGTAATGTTTTCCTTGCTGAGTTGTTATTGTCCAAGGCCTGAGTGTTATTGTGTTTAATGAGCTAATTTATAAAACTGTATACCATCATTATCTTGAGGCTGACAGTGTGTGCTGTATATACTGCTGCTGTCAGTGAAAACCTATTAAGAGACAAAGAAAAACAGATCACCATGCATTTTTGAGTTTAATGTGGTTTTAAGAGTTTTCACAAGAGCAAGAATGGTTAAATCTTCTTAACCCACAGAGGATGGTGTAATTCTTCCAAAACATGAAAGTGACCAGCGTTGGAGTTTAAAGGTTTTTTGTAAGATAATAATATCAGAAAGGCAGAGGACATTTAATATTAAACTGTCCACCTTTTATACCAAAAAATATTCCAGAAGAGCTACTATGACATGTTTTAAATCTCGGTCGTCTCAGTGCAAATGCTGATGTTGTGCGATGTGATGTGATGTGATGCACGTCCTCCGGCTGTCCCGCAGATACCAGAGGAGATGGTGACCCAGACTCGTAACTCCTATATGGAGGCTGAGCTGATAGTGCCCCCGCTGGACGAGCTGTGCAAGGCTCACGAGGAAGAAGTGGATGAGGACGAGGACGAGGAGGATGAGGAGGGATCCTATCATGCCTACCTGGAAGGGCTGGTCCAGAACCTGCTAGAAGAGGCCAAAGATAAAAGCAAAGGCTGGGTGTCTCGCTTGACGACTGACCATACAGAACTGGCATTCAAAAAGGTATGTGTTCATTGAATTTCTGAAATATTGTTGGATTTTGAGAGGGGAGAAAGAAAGAGCCAAACAGGCGTCTTCATAAATGAATTGGAAAGCTATAATACTATTTGTGTAGTGCATACTATGCATTGAGCATTCTCAGTTAGCTTCTCAACAGGAAGCACATTTCAAGTGGAAACCTGACTGTTTAACGTTAGACTTTAAAAACAAAGGAACAATTAAAGGAAAATTCAGTTTTTTAAATACACATCTATGTGCAGGGAGACCCACGTACTTGTTCAAATTATACATGGTCAGATACATTTTGAATCTCTTTTGTACACCATCACAATAAATCTAACCCTCGTGATGTGTGTAAGGTGGGAGACGGTAACCCTCTGAGGCGATGGCGAGTGTGTGTCGAGGTGTCGGCGGCTCCAGATGAGGTGCTGCAGCGGCTGCTGAGAGAACGCCCTCTGTGGCAGGCCGATCTACAGCAGGAGAAGGTTCTGGAGAGGCTGGATAAACAGACAGACGTGTACCAGTACTCCCACCACAACATGGCACCTCAACCCAGCTGTGACTATGTGGTACTAAGGTCAGGATTAATGATATTTGTGTGCTTTGTTTGATTTGGAATTTATTTTTAGACTATTACTTCTCAAAACAACCTGCTTAAGCATTCCCTAAAATGCATAAACATGTCTCAAATAGCATACTGTATAAAAAAGCAGAGCTGCAACATTACGTCGACTAGCCCATCAAAAGAAAATTAATTGGTATCAATACCAAGCGAGAACTGCTGCTTAACTTTGACTTGCGTTATAATAAATTGAATATTCTTCTGGTTTGTCAGACAAAACAAGATTTTTAAATGTTTTATAGAGCAACAATTCATTGATTTACATAATCTGCAGATTAGTCAACAATAAAAATAATTTTAAGTTGTTACCAAACCATGTCTCACATTCCCACATCTTCGTTGTCCCTCCGCCCCCTCAGATCATGGCGCACAGACCTATGTAAAGGCTCCTGTGCATTGGTGTGTGTGTCCATCGAACATGATGACAGCCCGCGCACGGGAGGAGTGAGGGGGGTGGTGCTGGAGTCACAGTACCTCCTCGAGCCCTGTGGGACTGGGAGGACTAGACTCATACACATCTCCAGAGTAGACCTCAGGTGTGTGGGGGCGGACTTCAAGTGCTCTCATAGTAAAAGTTTAAAAAAACAAACAATGCAATCATTAATGTGCCTGATTTGCTTTTCTTGTTACAGGGGAAGATCTCCAGAATGGTACAACAAAGCATTCGGTCACCTGTGTGTTAATGAAGCTCAGAGGATCCGATCCTCTTTTCACCCTCCAGAACAGACGAGCACTGAGGCCAAGATCTGAACCCCACACATCAAGCTTTATCTCGGGTCACACTGCCAGAGCAGCTGAGCCTGAGGACCCATGAGGGGAATCATCCAGGCAGTGAACTTTAGTACCTTTTCACTCTGCTGAGCCACACTCAGCTGTACTGCACCATACTGTACTGAGTTACCGTCATTCACAGAAAAGGGAGTTTTTTGCCATGTATTCCATTAATTCCGCATAACAACATATCGCTACTTATTTATCCCATAAATATCAAACAGCTAATTAGATTTTCTTTGAATATACATTGATGTTACATATAATAATCTGCAGACAGAGCGTATTTTCAGTATTTATTGCTCTGGGTCATTCTTCTAAATCCTCGTCTACTAATCCAATATCTTGCAAAAAAAAAAGACGACGTACGATAACAGCCCGCACCAGAAGGTGTGTTAATGAGATGGTTGCCGTCTTTAACACCGTCATTTGATAAAGCTGTAGCTGATGTTATCGTATGTAAAAATGACATAAAAGTAACCCACAAGTAAAGTAGAATACCCATATTTGTATTGATTATTTACTCTGAGAAATCTATCTTAACTCCAACTCTTTAAAATGTAACATGGCCTGCTAGAGGAATATAAATGACTGATTAGATTGAAACTGTTCACAACGATTTGTTCTCCTCAGATGTTTTATTGAATAGACTTGAAGAAGCAGGACACATACACTTCAGATCTGCTTTTATCACAGTCAATCGAAAATGACATTTAATAAACAACACAGTAAATTTCATCAACCAACCAAGGAATTGCAATTTAGTGTCAGGACAAGTACATTCAGTGCTCTAACAATTCTTAATCCTGCTTTTAAAAATCTTGCATGTTGATACAATAATCTAATTTTAGTTAATTTGGCCATCTATAAACTAATGCTCCTACAAAGCTGTGAACAAATCCCTTAAGTATGCACGTTTATAAAAGGCACAAGATTATGATCGAGCCGTCCTCAGATTAAGATGCATAAATCCCAGTGCTCTTAAAAAGCATCCCTGTCATTAGGAATGACCAGGACCAGTACAGCATGGCTACATGTCAGCGTTACATTTTGAAAAGTGCACTATAGTTCAGGACAAACGAGCACATGAGGGATCTGGATCACAGAAAGGGCAAACAGTCATCAGGTCCATACATGTGCTGTTATGGAAACATTGTGTTGGATATCACTGTTGATCTACTTCTCTCACTATTTTCAGTGTTACTCTTATCTAAATGTTTTTTTAAAGTTATCATTGTCATTATATACATGTATATTGTATCACCTTTTTTTGCTGTCATGTTATACAATGTCTAAGACATGTGACCATTTCACTGCTTCTGGGAAGCATGTTTGAAATTGTGTGTGTGGGAGTGCATGGAAGTGCCCGTGTATCTGCACTGTAGATATACGTACAGCCTTTAGTGTATATATATATATATATAAATATGACGCTCTCTGTGCCAGCAGATCAAACATCATAGCTTTTCAGGGTCTTCCTATCATATTGATATGCTGAAATGTGAACTTTACATACACCATCCTACTAAAGCAATAGCAAACTCGCTCTGCCATGGCACTGCCTTGGCTTATTTTTGTTTTGTTTCAGCTGTAGGCGTTGCTACAGTGTCACCAAAATCCTGCGTGGATGCTGTTTGCTGGTGTACCAGGTGTGTGTGTGTGTGTGTGTGTGTGTGTGTGTGTGTGTGTGTGTGTGTAAATATGTGTGTATGAGAGAGACAAAGAGTGAGTGAGTGACTTTGACGTGAGCTCTCGGCTGTGTGGGAAGAGGCTCCAAACTAGCTGAGACCAGGGTGGTTATTTCTGACAGAAAACAGAATCATTGTTACTAAAGAGAATAAAAACATCTAAGAATTCAACAAAACATTTTCTGTGGAAGTGTTCTTCAGTCTCTGATATTAAATTGTTGTAACATCAAAAGGCATAATGGCATGAAAATACATTTATAAATCATTTTCCTTGTTATGTGCTCTCCTGTCCATTGAGTGGTGCTCTCGCCCCACTGGAGTCTGAAGGTCCTGCATGAGTCTGGAAACTGTGCCATGTAGATTGTTTTGAGATAACTTGAGTGTATGAAGAGTCATCAGGGGGTTCTCCCTATGAAGATGTTCTCTGTTGTCACGCTGTGTCCTTTCAATGGATTGATTTAGGAAACTAACCCCCCCCACCGCTCAGATCAATACTCAATCGCATTTACCTACTTAGCCGCGTCAGATGGGGACTCTCACAGAGGGCGATGAAGGTGTTTTAATACAGACTCTACTCTCCCTGTAAGCGGGGGTGTAACAGCACAGAAATGTGTGAAACATTACTTTAACTTCTACCCCATTTAACATGTCACTGATTTTATCTAGGGCACACCGTTACAGCTCCTGAATGTCAATGATCCTCTGCACCGTGGGTGTACTTCACTACTCCATGGAGTCTGACAAATGAGGAACATCATGCTGCAAATTACACTATGAAAAAAAACAAGGATTACTGACAAGGTGAATCAAGCATTGTTTTTTTCCCCCCCAACTGAATCCACTTTATTCTCGAGGGGTAGATTTTCTAAGCAAACGTTTAAAATCATGAAGACTAGACTGTGCAAAAGAAAGTAAAGTAATTTGCTATTGCAGTGCTCTTTCTCATTATGTTGAGATAAAATGCAGAGGGGTTACAGTTTTTCTCGATTGTTAAGACACATTTCTTGAAACGGTCACCCATTTTCTCAAAACTGTAAACACAAAACCTCATCTTCAAGCACTATTTACAAAACCTCTGAATCCTCTTGCAAAATGAAACTTTTGCCTCAAAACAGTTTTACCTGTGCTCAAAATCAAACACTGCTCTCAAATCATAAACAAAGTGATCAAAATAATATACACTATCAAGCAGTCAGTAAACAATACACCAATAAATAGAAAACACATTGTTCAAAACATATAGTTCTCAGGGAGAAGTAGAGTTTTAATCTCAAAACAAATTTCATATGAATGAAAACATGTTCTATTACAGTAGCTCAAAATTGATCAGAAATTACTACTGTGCTTTGCTCTTTGCAATTTATTTTGTTCTTCCTCCTCCTTGTACCCCTATTTTTACAGTACTGTACCCTGCATCTCACAAACGTGTCCTTTGTCTCTGTGACACTGTAATTCTTGTTCTTTGTTGATATGAACCTGCAACCAGTCAAAATCTATTGAGCAGTCAGTACTGTTACTGTAACAAATAGAAAGCACGATGTTCAAGGCCATACAATTTGTTTATTGTACATTATACAGCCTACAATGCACTGTAGGCCTACTACAGTATACAATACTACAGTAAAAGGGACAAAAATCAAAGGAGTCAACATGTCATCAATGTGCTTCTTCTTGTCTTTGGGCTGGGTCAGGCCAGAGCACTTCGTCGACATCACAAGCAATATTTTCTCTCCTGAGGCAACGGGGGAAGAAGCCTCTTGTGTGCCGTATCCAGCCCTGACATGATTCCTCACCTATATCACCACAGGCTAATTCCATGGCTTGCAGCAGATTTACTCTGGTGTAGGGTTGTCTATCATACACTTTCCATCTCCATGAGGAGAAAAACTCCTCAATCGCATTCAGGAAAGGCGAGTATGGAGGGAGGTACAAGGTCATAAACTGACCATTGATGTTAAACCATTCCCTTACCTGAGCAGCTCGGTGGAAACTGACATTGTCCAGCACTATCACATTGGTGGGAATGGGATTCTCATTTAGCTCTTGACCCTGCTGCTCAAATAAAATATCTCTTAGATTGGCCAGAAATCTTAGAAGATGCTGGGTGTTGCTGATAGCAGCACAGATTGTGACATTGCCACCTCGTTGACCAGGGACTTCAACAATGGCCCGCTGTCCAATCACGTTTCGGCCTCTCCTTCTCCTCTTTGTTAGATTGAAGCCTGCTTCATCGACAAAGATTAACTCACGGGGTCTGTCCAAGGATTCCAAGTCAAATATTGTCTGTGTAGGAATACAATATAATGTATGTAGAATTTAGTAAGTTGTACAGAGACAGTGCTATATTGTAGAGTTCAATTAGGCCTACTGTATGCACTTCTGATTCACATACATTGTATGTACTGAAGAGTAATGTCATTCACATAGTATGTGGCAGTACTGTAGACAATCTGGATTACAGTAAATGTGTCTGAATGTACACTTACTTGCACATACTGAGCTCGCAGTTCTTTCACCCTTGGTGAGTTGCGCTCAAAAGGTACTCTGTATACTTGTGTCATTCGTATCCTGTTACGATGGAGGACACGGTGAATTGTGGAAATGCTCACACTGTCGATTCCCTGGAAGTGTGTTGTCTTGTATCACTCATTCCTGGATTTCTCTGAGTCGTATTAAATTATCTTGAAGGACCATGCCCACTATAACGGTCTCTTGCTCCTGAGTGAATATAGCTCTCCTTCCACCTGCATGTGGCAGCCTTGCAGTTCTACAAAAAGTAGATGTGCAGTTACAAAAAATATTCATGCAGTACAATACATACAGTGATGAACTTTACAAATGTCTATTGAAACAGCTGCATATAGTGTAGTACAGTAAATTTGCAATTACAAAAATACAGTAGCATACTGTACCTGTTCTCTTCTCTGAATGTCCTTACTATGGTGGACACAGAAAATCGGCTCAAATTGTGGTGCACTCTAAGTCCTGCTTCCCTCATTGTCAGTCCGTGGACTATAACATGGTCTATGACTGTTGCTCGAATTTCATCAGATATTTCCACTCTTTGTCTTCCTCTTCCTATTCGTCCTCCTCTTCCTCTTTCTTGCCCTCCTCCTCTTCCTCCTCGTCGCCCACCTCTCATACACACTTGTCCTCGTCCTTGTCCTCTCACATTGTTTCTTCTATCCATTGTCAGACTTTCTCCTTCCCACCTTCAACCACCTGTTTGCTCTCTAAACTGGCTTATATTGGTTGTGTCACATCATTTGATACAAGTGAAATCAATTTTGAGTGATTGCGTTTAATCAATGACATGTGTTCTCTATTTGTATTTGATTGTTGCCACTTGTGTTTACCAGTATGGATGACATGTGCATTAGAGTGCAGAATGTGTTTTGAGACTGAGAATGTGTTTAGAGTTTTGCTGAAAAGTCTAAGTGAGATCTGAAAATTGTGTTTTACCATGTGAAATAGTTTAAGGTATTGACAACAGACTGCACAATTAGCTAAATGAGTTCAGGCAACTGAGAACTTTGTTCAGCCAAGGGGTTTTAGTGTTTTAGCAATTGAGAAAAACTGTAATAAGATCAGCAATGTTCCTCCACGCAGGGTGACCCTGCAAAAGGATTTGACGGTGACCTCTTCTGGAAGGAACAGGAAGTTCACGTCCAGCAACTACCCGTGTCCAAGAAGTCTTTACATCCCTCGCTTAACGAAACAGAAATCTTAATGAATAGAGGAGAGCGTCGGTGCTGCAGGTATAAGAACCATGTCGATGGGATTCTGAATACCGTCGAAAAAAATATTGATACCGATTGCAACATGAAACTATATTAGTCAAATTGTAATTCTATTATTCTTTGTCCTACTTCGATGTTGAGGTTATCGTGCTCTTGCATTTAAGAGTTCCCAAGATTTTTGGTTTTGAGGAATGTAAACAGAGTATAATGTTGCTGTGGAGTCAGTTAGTTTGCTTTCGGCAACCCCGTCTGTTTTGCCATTTGGACACATTATTGCCGAATTGGCAACATTAAAAGTACACCGAATTAATTACTGGCAGTTCCTTTTGGCAATACATCCATGGATTTACAGACAGCTATCACTGGAATACTATGATACTAAAGAAAACTTTAAAATGTGGAAAATTCTCTGCAAGTTCTGGGGTTATGATGAGCCTCCGTTTTCCTGTCATTTCTAACCGGATTCCTCGGGAAATGTAAGTAACGGTGAATCTAATAATATGTTTCATGTTTGTGTGTTCAGATTTGACTGATTTATGACTCCAAGACAGAGTACAAGCACAACATGTGAACACCAACGAGAATCTACATGCTACCCCTTATAATATGGTACATTAGTAGTATTGTTTTTTCTATTTTTACTGCCTTTTTATGTTTTGTTTGTTATGTCAAGTTAAGCATGCCTCCCAGGCCTGTAGGGTACAAGTTTAGCAAAACAATAATGTATAGAAGTCTAGTCAGTAATCTGTCCATTTGTACACACGTAGGCCTCCATGTTACTGTCCAAAAGTCAAACTGAATCAATACATCACACAAGCAATACAGTTTGCAGTCTGTGTTGTTCTGAGTATTTACATTAAATGAAATGGTATTTTTTAATGTAAAAGTCTGATGACCAAGTTTATCTGACCAAAATAAACTCAAAATGCACAGAAAATATACTTAACAATATATCAAATATGTTTTTAATTATAAAGAACAACTTAAGTGGCGTGAAATTGAACAGTGCTTTAGTATATGATTGCTGAATGCACGCCTATAACCTAGTCATTTATTTTAAAATATTATTGCGTATACTTTTTATACGCTTTTGATATCACAAAACCGATCAGTTGTTATCACTTTCCTTTTATTTGACATATGTGTTGTCCTCCATTACAGATATAAGAAAACCATTGCAGGAGGGATGGCTAATGTGAACCCAGCCTCGCTTATGTAACGATCTAATTAACAGACCGAAATAGCAGAATTTGAAAAAAAGACCATCTCATCTCATTAAAGAGACCAACCTCAGATTCACACTATCCAAAGAACTTGAAGTTGAATTGAGAGTTTGTAGTGCTGGTCTTTTGAATGTTGTTTAATGTTGCTGCTCTTTATCTCTACATTCCCACTATAAAGCTGAGCAGAGAGAGAGTCAAACAGGGGGAAACAGATGTATCTCCTCTGAGAACAGCTAATCCACTGTCTTCTTATATACAACCATGATAAGGTCATTAATGAATAAATGATCCAATGAATGAATTATTGATGAGGCCACATTGGCAGTTGTGTGTACAGTATCCTTGAGTGTATGCTCTGGTATTGGCATACTACAACCAAAGGAATGCACAATTAATGACATACACTAGTGAAGCATGTGTTAACTGTTTCAAAACAAAGGATATGGGAAAAAAAATCAATTCATTTCAGTACATAAGGTCCACAACTGGAGCTTGTTAGCAATTGAGTCTGTTTTATAGCAAATGTGACCTCAACACTGCTGCACAGACTGCGTCAGATAAATAACCCTGATCTAATTCTGTGCCATAAGGGGAACAGATATTCTGGAATTTTAAATAAAGTTCTGCGGGTTTGAACAATGCTTGGCCGCATAATAATTAACTCATCGGGGGGTTGAGGGGCCATGGGATTGAAGAGATTGAGCCATACTGGATCATTGTCACGTGTACTAACAACACAAGTGCCGATGCTGCTAACAAGCAGACGTGTTTGTACGTATACTGTTCACTGTTCTCTGGTGTACACATTTTCAGAGCTGGCCTTTCAAACTGGATATAGCCTTCAGGGACACATACTGTACGTGGGCTTTTCCATCAAACTGAAGTGCCGGTTTCATCTCAGCTGGGTTATTTATGGAACCCAGCACAGTTCAGGAGCCCAGCGTTGCAGCCCAGTCAAAGAGTCACGTCCTTGGTCCCAGGTCGTGACCCCTGTCAAAGAATCGGCTCCTTCATCCCTGGTGACAGCTCTCCAGAACAAAGGGAGTATTACTACAAACCGCTGATAATGAAAATGAGAAACTGTGACATTTTCAAAATGGCTATTTTTTCTTGACTGAGACAAAAGAAGCTTGTTTAAATCTTCACCTTTGCACACTTCTGAGGGTTCATCCAGAGGGTTTTTTGAAAGGGATTCATAAGAGCAAATATGGTGTAATCTTCTTAACCCATGGAGCAGTGTGTAATCCCTAAAACATGACAATGACCAATATTGAGGTTATGAGATTTTTAGCAGGATGACCTCTTTTTTCTCTCTTTCCTTCAGACTTATTCATGGCCACTCTTTATCTTTAAAACTTTCATAAGCTACTTTGTGGTGTCCTTTGAGGATTGTCCTCTGCAATTCCACCAGTATTACAGTAACGGATTGACTTAGAGAGGGAATATGACCTGCTTGTTGAAAGTATTTAGTCGCAAGATTGCAGAGGATCTAAGTAAAGGAGCAATGAGAAAATATTGTCTAATGCCCTCATGAGGTCTATTACTAAGTTTTCAAGAGTGTGATTTTCTTGATTTCTATACAATGAATTGCCTTACTTTATTATACAATATGCAAACAAAGGAAACAAAGGCTGACACTAAATCACTTTTTAATATTAATGTTTTTATGCTGTAAAGCAAAGGAAAACAATCCAAAAGATAAGATCTCAGAAAATAAGACTGAAAAGAAATGATTATAATATTTTATCTTGATTAGAACCATCTTAACAATATGATAGCCACAGGGTTTTTCATGTCTGTTTGAAAAACACAGATAAACAGAGAAAATAATTTAGAAACTGGCAAAATTTACAGCTGAAAAGAAAACCTATAACCTAATGACAGATTACATGCAAAGAGACAGCAAGTTGCTGTGTTGTGCCAGTTCTGTAATCAGTTTCTGTCCATCTCCCATCCCTATTACTCTCTCACACATACACACACACACGCACACACACACACACACACACACACGTACACAGCCATCTTGATGATGACTCACATCCGTCTTTGAAAACAGGAAGTTATTACCTGTGTTGCTGTCTGAGGTCAGCCCTTTGTACATCAACAAGTCTGCTTTTCTACTTTTCAGCAGTGACAGAGATTCTGAAGCAGAATAGACAAAGTAACATCTTAAATTAAAACCTTTGGATCTTGATCCTGCTCTCTTAACTCCAAACAAATGTGTCATTTTTTTCCAGGCATTGACAGAATTATAAGTCATTTAAATGACAACCGCTAATACTTGTCAAACCAAATATAACTGTAACTGCAAAAAATTGCCAAGATACAAACTGAATTTTGTCCGTTCCCCACTGATCAAACCATTTCTGACAGATGCCACCGCTTCTGCTCACCTCACTGAGTCCCGGTCCCCGCTGGAAGCTCCAGCACTGTGATCATCACCCCCACAGGACACTGGCACTACCTCCACACTTCTCTACAAAGGTGCAACAGAACAAAGAGGAAACTGATGGACTGCCCACAAGCAATGCACCTCTGCTGGAGGTGAGAGAGCTAGGGGGAAGAGATGGTGGAAGAGAGAGAGAGAGAGAGTAACGGAGAGAAGAACAATGTTAGTGCTTTTACACAATCACAAAGCAGATCCCGGTTAAGATCTCTCTTTATGCTAAAGAAGTCTTTTGTGGAACCATGACAAAGCTGCAGAAGCAAGCCTTTGTCTGAAAACAAAGAGGAGTGTGTTTGTGCGCGAGAGAGAGAGCCTGCCATTGTGGTTGTGTGTGTGTCCGTGTGCGTGCATGTGAACCCAAGTGTGTGCGCAACTGACAGCGAGATAGCATGTGTTTGTTTGAGAAATTGCTTCCCTGTGTGTGAGAGAAGTGTGTAACAGATGCAAGCATTTGTGTGCAAGTGTGTGTGATTGTCTCCTTCATTTCCTTTGTGTCGAATACTGGGTTTAGGAAGAAAAAAAAAAGACATGGCCTCGCCCTGTGCTAATCTGTAAGATTCTCTCATGATCTCATGTGCGCACATGCATGTGCGCCAAATATGAAACACACACACACACACACAGCCAGAAAATGTCACTCCCATGTCACCCTCACCTTGTCCCCCCTGTCAACAGCATCTCAAGAAAAATTGGGAGCGAGACATCAAAGAGACTGACATCACTGCCTATATGAAAATACACTCAGACAGACGAATCAGCCTCTATAGTTGCTTTGCTAATGGGAATCCTACGCAGCAGATGTGTCCTGTTGGAAGAACACAAGGAGTGTGAAACAGGCTTATGTCCGCACACAGGTAGTGAACCAGTGGCCACGGTCTGTACAATTAGTGAGTATGTGTGTATGAGACACACCGGCTGGACCTGTGAGTCAATAATACTGAGAGCACGACATCAAAAAAGTTGAAAGATAAAGGTCCAGACACGGATAAACATGCAGGACATTGTAGCACCATCCAAACTGTATCCATAAACTACTTGCAAACATAACTGTTTGCATACAGTATGTATGTGCATGTGTGGCGCTGGTTTTAAGCCTGAAGGAAACAAATTAAATAGTGCTAATAAAGAGAGCAGTTTGCTTGAAGTGCATTGATTTTCCTAAGAAATAGCAATGCAAACAGAGGGCACGAGGAGGATGAAGAACAGAGGTGGTGAGGTAAGAAAGTGTGTTCAAAAAGTGAAAATGATTGCAGGAAAGTAAAAAAAAAAGAGGTGAGGACATTAGAAAAAGAGGAACAGAGGTAAGAAAATCATACAAAATCTTTAGGTGAGTGTCCGAAGAGCAAACCTGTGATGCTTAATAAGGAAACAAAGGTTATAGGGACAGAAATAAGTGTGACAGATGGCTTCTGAAATTACAAACAGCCTCCGTCTGGAAGCCAGACTCCCTAAACTGCTTGAACTCAATATGAATTGCCCCTCTACTGCACCTACATTATGCCCACCAGTATTTATTGTTGCTTTTTATTTTTAAATCACTGTATTCAGCTCGTCCTCACTTTTCCACATTGACATCTCCAGAGCCATTCAATAGTAAAAACATTCAAATATAGACAACAAAACAAAATCAAAACAAAAACAAATCACTGCTGTTCAGGTGGCACTGTTATATCAGCATGAACCCATACACGGATGGCTCCATGTTATTCCGCTTCAGCGCCCTACCAGAAAGCCTCCGAGTGCGCATGTGTGGCTAGCGCGCGCTGCCGCAGACAGGGGGCGTCAACATGGCGTTCTCTCCTCGACGACCGCACTGACTGCAACCTGCCAATGAGAGAGAGAGAGACAGTGAGAGGAGAGAGAAAGAAGCGGAGGCTACCATTCTGTCAAACCTCCATCCCTTTTTTTCCAGCCCTATGAATCCCGACACATTTCCAGGAGGATAGGGTGACTTCAGAGGGCTTTAGAAACACCGCTCTCCCTTGTTTTTCTTCTGCGCAGTGGATGGTTTTTGTGTAGCAGCGGACGCTCGAGCTTGCAGACCAGGTGTGAGAGACAGCGGCGACCGCTCCTCTCCTCCCTGTTTCCAAGGGGAAATGTCGAGCGAGAAGCCGGTTTCAGCACCACCGGGGTCTACTTCTTCGCTCACGGACACAGACCGAGACTCCCATCCGCCGCCGGGCTCCTCCGTCCAGCAGGTCGCCGCGGGCGCTGGCTCCGGCGCCACCGGGGAAAGGATGGTGTCTTCAGCCGGCTCCATGGTCCTCCCGGCCGGGGTGATCAACCCCGCTGTCCCGATCAGGAATATCCAGATGAAATTCGCCGTGTTGGTGGGCCTGATCCAGGTCGGGGAGGTTAGCAACAGGGACATCGTGGAGACGGTGCTGAACCTGGTGAGTGTAAAACATGATCAAAACTGTTAGAAAGGCAGCCATAGAGCACAGTGCTGTGCTAACCCGCTATGTTTTATTTACGATGCTTCACTCCCATGGTTTGTGTGGCTCTCAGAAGATGATGTCATTTGTTTGTTCGGAGGATGGGATGTGGGGGTTTCTTTTTCTGCAGATTTAAAAAAAGAGCATTCACGAGGCTGTGTGTGTGTGTTTTGGGGGATAAATAGGCTGAAGCTGTATTATTGTAAAGCCTAGAGGAACCTAAAGGAAAGCATGTGACCCCACGAAGGCATGAAGGGTAGTCTGATCACCAGCCATTGTTGACTAAATGACCAGTGTTGCGGTGCAACAAGGAAAACACGTCTGCAGTTTAAAACTGTAGTGCACAGGGGAAAGTGTGTCCAGGCCATTCTCTCCATGACCCCGATATGTACCCTGAAGTGATACATTGAGGTTCCAGCACACGGAGAAGGGCTACAATGTTGCGCACAACACCCGAGACTCCAAACGGAATTATTTCGTTTCCCCTAAAGAACGAAAACACTGAGGCGTGCACTGTCTGTGGAGCAACTGAAACAAAAAAATCAATCCAACACGAACAAAGGCCGACTAGCATTATGCTATCCATCGACATATGTGTGTGTGCGTGTGTGTGTGTGTGTGTGTGTGTGAGAATGGCTCAAAATTATGCATGGGCCTATTGTTGAAGGCAGGGCCCTGCATCCTGTGCGCAAAGGAGTGATGTATAGGTAGCTGAGACACGGCCAGTGCAACCGCGATCATTTTTATTTATGGATCAGTTGTACGTTGCCCCCCCCCCCCTTCCATCTTTACCCTTCCGTTGGAGGTTGTGTCGGCGATGCTGGGCCTACCCTACACATGAGAGGATTTTAATCCAGCTGGTAGTTTTTTTTGACGTCCCTGTTACGAAACAGAGGAGCAAAATGTACAGCAGCCGTAGGTCTGGAGGACTAATGCGTTAGGAGGATATAGGACGTGTGTGTTGGATGCTGCCAGGCTGTTTTTCCCTCCTCCATGCACCAGGCGATGGCGTGTACTGCATGGTGTTACATATCTGCTAAAGGAGGGGGGCTCTGATCATTATTCATTCTCTTTTTGAGGAAGAAGTCGAATAACGTAGATGTAAATTATAACCCGATTTCAGTTCAGTGCTGTCTGGAGGTGGACTATATCGTGTCCTATTTACTCACTGGATGCTCGGAGCAGGACAGCCTACAGCTGGGCTAAACCATTTCCCTCTCAGTCCGACTGGTGATGAGCCGTCCGGATTCAGGTTGCCTCTCATCCCCCCCCCAATCGATTATTGGTACTACACGGAAGAGCAGAGGGGCTTTGCTGGCTCACTCCGACCTTGTCTCCTTCCCTTACAACCGCCCCCCTCTGGCTGCACAGGCTGATAACCATCCATCCTGTTCCACAGCCTCCTCCTTCACTCTGGAGGGGCTGAGAGGAGAGATGCTGCCTGCAGAGACTGGCCTGGCAGGGCAGCGCCATGCATTTAAAAGCAGGTGGAGAGGAGGATGAGAAGAGGGGGTTGATGGAGGGTGGGGGAGGAGAAGAGAGAGAGAGAGAGAGAGAGAGTGGAGGAGGATGAGGTGGTAGGATGCTGCAGTGGCTATGTGCTCAGAAATCACCAGCTGATGCAGCGGAAGAGGAAAGGACTCTGGATTGGTCCACATCAGATCATCAGAGCGTTAAACTGAAATGGACCCCATTTTTTTTTGCATAAATACCTGCGTTAAGGCCCACATGTTGGTCTGATGCATTAACACACAAAGGCCTGACACCCTGACAAATTAAAGCACTATGTGTTGTCCATACAAAAAGCTTTACTTGCTAAATCCTGAATTGAACAATCAGTTGTGGTTGCGAGGCTGCCAATAGCTAAGCCTGTTAGGGAATTCTGTTGCCCAGCTCCTTAATTAAAAGAGTTGAAACAAAAGAGGTGTGGAGGCTGGAACCTCAGCGGTCATGCTGCTGGTACAATGAGTCCACTGTGACCCAAAAGCTGATCCATTATTCCAGTCAGTGTGGGAGGCCACAGCAGCCACATACACCGTCCACCGTGGCCGTATTGATCAGATCCCACTGCGGCTTGGGCGAACAGATGGCTTGTCGGCTGGATCGGATACTCTCCTTGTTCTATACGGTGTGATGCTGGCCGTTGGCGAGTGATGAACTGCGCTGTCTCTAGATAGAAGGAGAAGAAGAGGAGAGAGAGAGAGAGAGAGAGAAGACAATAACAATCAACTGGCCAGAATGCTGGCTGTACTGATGCTGATACAGAAACCACAGAGCACTGCTGCTCTGCTTTACATACAGCAACATACAGTATAAAAACACTTGCACTATGCGTGTGGGCTGCTGGTGCTCGGTTATTATCATCGGCAAGGCATCACAGTTGTCAAGGCAACACTGCTCTTTGACTGCCTGCCTCCAGACGCTCGACCACCTGGTGTTGCTCTCCACTTCCGGACTTCTGTCACAGTACGCTGCCACAGCATCGCTCTCTCACGCTCTTTCTTTATCTTCGTCTTTGTTTGTCTCTTCGTCTCCTATTATACGATAATATGGTCGTGGCTTGAAGCCGTCTGGTACTAAACATCTTAAACTTTAAAGGGCGCACACTAGTGCAGCTAGATTTTTAGTGGGACCGTCAGTGAATTAGATTGGTGATGGATGCACAATTGGGTGATGGGTCAACATGAACCACCAGACTCTGGATCTGTACTGGAGACGCTTGGGTCATTTGTTATGTTGCTGCTGTCATTTGCTAATTCTTTTATATGCAGGTGCGTCACATCTTTTGAGTACAACATGATAAATCTGAGGGGTCTTTAGATGATAAATGGTACAGGGGAGCAGAACAACTTAAAATATTCTTTCTAATCTTTGCTTTTTTACTTGAAAATTGCTGATTAGTTTGACATTTTCCAGCCTCTAAAAATAGGGAATCAAAATATTTTCTTTGGTCCAGCTGATCATAACCCATAGACATATTCAACTGCCGATGATGGGTCACAAGTAGACATTTCTTTGTTTGGTCGGAGGCCAAAAAGATTGGGGACCACTGTAATACACCACACCCTACAGGACAGGATACTTTACTTTCCCCTTAGAAATACACTGGTCCGGGTTTTTGGGGCCCTCAAACCAGGTGAGGTATGCTCAAAAAACAACAGAAACCATCCAATCACAGCTAGCAAATATCATTTTTTTTCTGTAAATATCAGTCTCCGGTAAATATATGGAGGAGAAGTTAATCATTTCATTGCAGGACTACTTGGCGCTTTACTATCTGTCTTTGCTTCACCCTCGCCGTCCAAGAACGTCACAACATTCGGTTTTAAAGGTCAGACAAACTGACACAGACGAATGGAGACGTAGAGCTACTGTGAGGGATTTACAATGCTGGAAATCCAGTCGTCCACTTTTAGCTGCTAAAATTACTGCAACTTCATCATTATTGCCATTTCTGTCCCCAAAGAATCACGCCAAAGCTCTACTTTGTGTCTTGTGTTCACCAGAGATGTGCTCATAAGTTTCTTGGAAAGAAGTCATTCAGCATGAAAGAGCATAAAAAAATGACTAAATTAATCTTAGTTGTTTTATTAATGGTCCACAACTTAGGCTGTGGTTATTGTCTTTGACATGATTTAAATTGTGATGTTGGATATCGGAGGAAGTGACGAGAAATTTCAGTTTGAAGAATCGAGAGGCGTAATTCAAATACATCTACAGGCAGTACTGTCAGTCTCGCCTTAATACGGCACCAGCTGTGCTTATTTATAGACAGCTTTATCTAGTTGTTCTGCTTCTTTTTGGTATCAAACTGGAGTGTTTGTCTGGCATAGATAAAGATTGGTGGCACACTCTGCCTCACTCTTTGTCTCCATGCTCATTCGTTCTCTCTTTCACCTTCCTTTCTCGGTCAGATGCAATATCTTCTGTCGATCCCCACCTGAGCCCTTTTAGTGGTCCCACTGAGTCTCTGTTAGCAAACGTCTCATTATTCTTGTCCACACACTCCGCAATTGCCAAGGGCACCCGATATACCGAGTCCGTGGCGAGCAGAGTCAGAGTCAGCGCGACACACAGAGTCTGTCACTCACGGACCCCGAAAAAAAGACACACATGCATGCACCCACAGACAAATAGCGGGACAAACAGTAGCAACCTGGGCCGGGTGACATGGAGGAAATCAAGTATCACAATATTTCTGACCAGCTAGAACAGTTAAGTTCAGAAGAATACACAACTTTACTGTAAATAAACCAGGAAAGGACACTCATACAATGTTTTGATATCCAACTAGACAATATCTAGTCTCATATCAATACTGATATATATATATATATATATACAGTATATATATATGGATGTCTCTCTTTTTCTGAAGGATAAACAACCAAACAAAAGAAGTGAATCATAATCAGCTTTATTAACCATGTATGCGTACGCATACAAGGAATTTGACTCCGTTTTTTCCGTTGCTCTCAACGTACTTACACAGAAATGAACAAAAAACAACAACAAAGTAGAACAAATATAAGCATAAACATTTAACTACTGTGTGCAGATATAAATATACAAACAAAAGTACATACATGAACATAAAACACAATGAAATGAAGGAAAGCAAAGTGATTCTGTGTGTTTCTATGTTTTGTAATGTGTTAACACTCGACCCTATACGTCTGGAGAGCAGTGCCATTGGCATGCTGATTTACAGTGCACAGATTTCTAAAGGAATAGGTCGCCCAATTTAAAAACGTGTTACGTGAGTATACGTTATCTCGCCCTAAGGTGTTTTTTTTGAAGCGCAAAATTCAGTTGAACTGTTTTGCGAGTTTGCCCTGTGGCTGCACGCTGAGGGCAGAGGCTAACTATGTCCCTGCAGCACTGTAATCTGCCTGCATGGCCATGCAGGGGAATAACAATGCGTCATCGCGTGCTCACAGCCATGCAGATGACTCTCA